AAACAGCTAATCAAGTAGTATCTAGCCTAAGCACGTACTTCGCTCAGTCCTGCCAGTTGCCTCAAACCGCTACACAGATGAACGTCACACTTCTCAAAACATTACCCCTTTGGATTGACCTTTGCGGTCATAACTTGGAGATGACTCTATATTTGTGACCTTTGTGGCCGTGGGCCATTCTAAATTAATATTGTTTTGTACGTTGTTTTTAATTTTTCATTCTCGATGTCATGTTCACCTGTGCTGTATTGGTTATCACTCTGTGGTTTCTATTGGTTACGAGAATCAAGTATCTTGTTAGGCAATAGGCTCATTCATTGTTTCTATTCAAAGAAAAGTACAGAATTACTTGTTATTCCAAGAATGAATTCAAAATTTGTTTCTAAAAATAGAAAATATTTGGAAATGTATGAATGAATCTCTTATCAACATTTTCAGTTTGTTTGATATTGATTAGTATTATAGTCATACATGATACTTTAGTCAATATTCTGTTTCCAGAAATATTTGACCACTAATAACTTTTTTAGTTTAGAATTTGACATGGCTAAAATGCCAAAGAGAAATACAAATATAACAGAATCTAACTGTTATGAACATTCTTTTCAATTAAAATTTTACATCTCATTAACTGTTGCCTACTGGTAATGAAAAATTACTTCCATTCTACAATATACAGTAAATGGGGACCTATTATATTAATATACAGAATTGGTAAAAATAGAGCATTAGGCCTATATCATCTGTCAGCTACCATAGAGGGGTGCTACTGTATAACAAGCACATAGCCAAACTACCTTATGTGTTGCCCAAGCTAGACCAATTCAAGTTCTTGAAAATCTGGGAGTCAGCTTTTATTTATTTTTTAATAAGGTACTTGAATTATTTAATAAATCAATAAATTTAATAGCTGAACCATGATTTCAACCTTGTGGTTAACATTAAACGACTGAAATGCATGAGGTAAGTTATTGTTAGCAATGAACCTTAGAACAAGTCATAGTAAAAAAAAATAATAGGTCTGTACTTTTGTCCAATCAGATGTCGTGATCCAGTGGTGGATTCAAGGGGAACCAGTTGGCTCAGGGACCCCTAAATATTTCAAAATTATAACAAAATTAGGGAGATAAAGAAAATTATATTCAAATTTATGAGTCTGCGAGTGCCATTTCCGGCCACCTACAGTAGATGCTATAATAATAAATTTCCTTACCTCAGCCCCAGCCATGGTGGGTCTGAGGCGGTCCAGGCTCTCTGTCTGTGGAAACCCCTCCATGGGCTCCCCCTTGGATCTATATATTGTACACTATAGTGAATTTTAAATCTGAGATAACGAGTAGTCTGGGACCATGTCAATGGATATTGTTGCTAAGGTCCCACAAACTAGCTAGTTCAAATGTGTTGATGCATACATCTGTGTTAGTTTTTTCTGATTGGATGGAGGAACACTTTCTCCGATGAAGGATTTAAGATTGATTTCACGTCCCAGATGAATGAATTCAATGTCATTTTGAATATGGTCATGCATGCACACCTGCATTGCAATGATTTCAAACAATCCCAGATTAGGCCTACTCGTTTCTGATCTAAAACTAAATGAAAAGTTAGTTACCAGAAAGGTATACTTCAAAGGTATAGTTTACTAATACATAGCAGGTAGATGGAAGGGATAATGTGCTGTAGCTGAGCTCAGGTGTGAAAACAAGATGATAGCCACCGTGCACTTACAACCAAAACATGCATGCCATAACATGTGTTTTGTTATCATACATAATTAGTAAAAATTAAACACACTGATACATAAAACAGTGTTTTTTTTCTCAAGATTTATTTATTTCAAACACTCCTTGCAAAAACATGTAACTATAGTATGTGTAATGATTGCGAGAATTTTGGGCCTATATTTTTATAATATTTGGTAATTGGAAAATTCAGTTTGGAAAGTCTTGTTAATGTTTCATTAACAGCCAGGAGAAGATAAAAAAAATTAAAAAATTAATGGTCACGTTCGTAGAAAGGGAGCATATGTGGCTACAACAGTTTTAGAATATATTTTAGCCAGAATATTTAGTGGGAAATTCAAAAGTGTGGGCTGGGAATGGAGCCAACATTGGCAGTTATATTATTTGATTATGAACAGAACATTGTTACAATATACATTAGCACTTCATAAATGTTATTGTTTGTTTGGCTTTTGTTATTATTATTATACTTACTTACTTATAAACAATATTATTATAATCATTGTTATATTATCAATATGATTAACTTAATTTTTTCAATACTTTATATTCAAAACGGTATTTATTTAAAAACAGAATCAAAAATAAGTTTTTGCAAACCTTACTAAACATAAACTAAACAAATGTTATTGTTTAGTATTGTCATCTTCATTAGTTAAAAGGACTAAAAATATTAAACAAAAAACAATTGAACCAATACCAATACCATTGTTTTATTAACATTCCAAAAGAATTCCAAAGTCTGAAGGAGTTAACATTCATATTGTAAACAAAAACATTAAACAGTATCTAATTATATTTAAATATTAATCAGCTTCCATGGTTTTCTTAATGGAAAATCACAGAGATTGTCTGTTCCATAAGCTGTCCAAACAATCTGTAATGCGGTCTCCTATTGGTTAAAAGATGTTATCCCTGTTGGTCCTTTCGGTGATCCTCTGATAACACGTAGTTCTTCATTCATATTTTAATTCTTACTCAAACGCATCTCTGTGTGAAACCGGCTCAAAACAGTTTCAATTTAAGCGGTGGGCTTTGGTCTCATCTGCAATTGCTACACTTTCAAATTAACTAATACACCATGAAAATTGATCAGGATTTTTGTCAAGTGAACTACAACCTCTAAATAAAAGGGTTTGACCTATGGAAGAGGAGGCGTATGTTATCGGAAAATCTATAATTGATGTAATCAAAAATTAGTGTATGTAAATATACTGTTAATTGGGCTTATAGACATGCTGTCTTCATCAATGTCATTCTTTAAATTTCTCTATAAATTCAGAAAGTGTTAATAATATGTACAGTAATAATATTAAAACCGTATTTGTATAGCATCTAATGGATGACAGATCCCTGTAGGTGCTTTACATAAGTCTTAAACTATATGTTAACTTTAAAAAATGAAAAATATTTTGCAGAAATTTGGTAACTTTATGATATATAATTTATAAAATACATTCTGATTAATTAGATAACATGATAGGAAATTACAAAGTGAAAATTGTAGTACTTTTTTTCTTTTTCTTGTTTTTTCTTCTTTTTATGGACCCACTTCATATTTGAAAGCTTCCGTCCAGTAGCCCAGTATTTTCAGGAGATTACTACTCCGGTGTACCAGTTTGTGCGGTATTTAGGCCTATTTGTAGTATTTACAATATTATTTAAATTTTGATTAGTTTTATTTGACATTACACAAAAATAGCCTTTAAAGTACAACATTTTCGAGTGTTTAATTTACGGTTTCCAGTGTTTAATTTACTCACCTATTTTTATAATGAAATATACTTGGTTTCAACAAAAGTAATTCAGTTCAACCAAGTAAAAATTGAAAAAAAAAAAATCTATATTTGAATTGCTTTACCAGTAGCATCCAGGGGTGCGGGGAAATACATTACCTGGTAAAGAAAAAAAAAAACATGCATCCCAAGTTTACCCCAATTGAAAATGTTTAAAGCCAAAAAATCATGTTCAAGTAGTTAAAAATCACCTCAAATCACCTAATTATCAAGCTCCCCATGTCACCTCCCCACTCCCATCAGGCTCCCCACCCTCAATTAAAGATTCTTAGATATGCCACTGTTGCTTACTCTTTTATGTTTAGGCAAGTTATTAGCTTTCAATTTAGAATTGGAATTCCTTGGAAACCAAATCCTTCAGCATTTAAGGGATGAATGAATGATGAGTAAGTAGGCCTACACAAATTAAACAGTTAGTGAATAATTGATTATTGAGTAAGTAAATGAGTGAATTAATTAGTAAACAACTGAAAGAGTGAGTGACTAAGTGAATGTATTAGGAAACAAGTAAATGAGTAATTGAATTAATTAAATTAAAAAACAAATAATGAGTCATTAAATAAGTAAGTAAATGAAAGAATAAATGAATTAGTGAAAGAAATGAATGGGTGATTGAATAAGTGAGTAAAGGAAAGAGTGAATGAATTAGTAAAAGAAATAAATGGGTGATTGAATAAGTGAGTATATGAAAGAGTGAATGAATTATTAAAAGAAATGAATTGGATTTATTCGGTGTAAACACCAAGGATAGCCCACGAAAATCTAGAAGACGACTTATTTCCAGTGGGGTCCTTCTGGTGGTGATTGGGCAGTGCACCAGGAGACAATCCCCTACTCTTTTCCGAAGAGTGTACTGCATTCTTTAACGTGCACATGGGACCAACGGCTTAAACATCTCATCTGAAAGACGGTG